TTTATCAGATATAATCTGACATTGATTCAATGTTGTTTCAATCATTCTGTGCTATCTGGGAAGTTTATTTTAGCAATTATATAATTAAAAATTAGGGAAATCACATGTAAGTTACTTTAATTTATACTTTTTCTAATTTTTCTGGCTTGTTTGGTGAGTGGGAGGGTTTTCTGGTAATGTGTGGGATTTGCTTATCAGCAGAAAATATTTTCAATGAAGATAAGTAAATAATAAATTCAATTGGGTTCAATTCAAAAGCTGACCTGATTCATCCCAGATCTTCCACTATGAACACCCCAACGCAAACATCCTCCATGAAGACTTCAGCGACCGGCTGCAGTGGCAGGGAACGCTGAACGACGACGTCCAGATCGGCGCCGTTTACGTCCAGAACGTCACCTTCAACGACAGCGGGACGTACCGCTGCACCTTCCGCCGCACCCTCTTCCTGCCGCTGCAGCCCGAGAACGTGGTGGTGGAGAAGGAGGTGGAGCTCACCGTGGTGGCCGCAGGTGAGAGGCGCTGGGGGCGGGACCAGCCCAGACCGGTCCAGCTTTCTGACACGTGATTGGCTGGTTTCCTGCAGCCAACCGGGAGCTGACAGCGGTGATCTCTGAGATCGTGATGTACGTCCTGATCGTGGTGCTGCAGCTGTGGCTCATCCTGGTCATGGTCTACTGCTACAAGAAGATCTGGGACGAACACGAAGCGAGAGAGGCGAAGAAAGCCCTGGAAGCGGAGGGATCGTGAGTCTCCACTTCCTGTTTCTCTGTTTCCTGTCTGCTGATTCTCACAGTCTCTTCTGATTTTTCCAGACTGCTGGAGTCCAAGGATCCCTGTGACGGCGTGCAGGCGGAGTAACGCCAGAGCAGATTCAGCACGCTCCGCTGGAGCTGCAGCCTGAAAAGTTCATAACGAATATGCTTTTACATATTTGTTGAATCTGAGGTGATTGACAGCGCTAAGCCCCACCTCCTGGCTCTGATTGGTTGTTTTTGGAGCATTTCTTCAGACAGCAGATCAATCTTTTCACAGATTGTTTCTCTCACAACAAAGTGCAATGATGACAGGTTTGATAAATATGTTAAAAAACCCACATTTTTCATAAAAGTTACTCATATCAGTTTTAAGAAGTGAATTAACATCCAGCCAGACGGATTGCAGATTTATTCTGGATCCTTCAGGGGTTCATCGTCTCTGAAAGGCTTTGAATGATCATGAGGTTTATTCCTGATGGAAACGTCTGACCTGAACCACCAGAACCTCTCAGGTGGTTCTGACAGCTTTATCACTTCAGCTTAACCTGAGACAACATGAAGGACTCTGATGTCACATCCTGTCTGTCACCATGGGAAACCGCCTGATTCGCCAAGCAGAAAAAATATTTCCTTTCTTCTTCTTGTCCGTCTGTCGATCATTTCTATGTTTTCTTATTTCTAGGGATGAACTGATGTGAAAACTTGGACCGATATTAGTATCTGATATTACTACAGATAACCGATATTTATCAGTATTATATATTTCCAGGTGTTAGTTCATCACTGCATGTCTTCCTGTCTCTTCTCTGTTGGATTTTGATTTTATTTTGATCATTTTCTCCCATCTTGTGTTTAATTTATTTAATTGATCCTGATCTGTTTTGATTTCAGTTATTTATTCATTTCTGTTGCATCCAGTGATCATCATCCCATAGCTTTATGTTCCCCACTTTCACTTTGTCAGATCCTCCTGTTTTCTTCTTGCTCGTTTTTGTTCCGTTTCTTCCATTAAATTTTCATTTTCATCATTTTTCCTCCATACAGTTGATTTTAAATTCATGGTAATAGAAAACATGTCCAGTGATTTATACTCTAAAGTTCACTGTGGTGCAGCTACATCTGGTTTTACTAAAACTTGGTTAAAAACAGGAAGTGTTTTTAAATGAAGTCTAACATAGATCCAGTTTTTATAGCTGAGAATAGACAATTTAAAAAAGATTAACCTTTCATCTAGTAATACATACATGATAAGCTCTTGAATTTATGTTTTAACATCCTGTTCCTACAAAGAAAACTAAAATAATTTATGCTTAGTTTATTGTTGATCAGCTAAGAAAATGCACATCATTTTTAGTGATTTAATTAAAAACATTTTTTTGATTTCATAATTTTGGCCCACTCCTCAGTCATGATGCTGCCACCGCCGTGCCTCAGCAGAACAACTGAACCTCATGAATCAGGTTTTTATTTAACATTTGTTAGAAATGTTTGATTTCTGTTGAATTTGATCCACTGCAGTTTTTGTCTTTCCCTTTCCAAGAACCAAACCTTCCTGTAGTGCTCAAATGGATCTTCATCAGTGGTTCTCAGGGCTTTCTGGAGGTCAATCCAAGGTCATCTTTGGAGAAGAAATGTTCAGAAAACCTGGAGATTTTTAAGTTTGTCTCCATGGAAGGAAAAACTACAGAACCGAGAACTGGACCAGAACTTTACCAGAATCATCTGGCTCCATGAAAGGAGACTTGCTGAACAAATTTATGCTCACATCAGTGAGTTAAAAAGAAGAAGCCGAGTTCCATGCAGACTCTTGAATATCTTCAGCCGACACACAGCCAGAGGACGTTTGGAGGTGGATCTGCTGTAACCGAATCTCTGCTCCGCTGCAGGTTTTCAGCCTGAAAGCAGCTTTGTTCTCTGGCTGCAGGTCAGCATCACACTGACCCAGTAAGACCAGTAAGAGACAAACAGAACCACTGCATGTGATAGAACCTTAGCTTTCTGATCCAGACTCACACAGATCCAACAGAACCGACCGGTCGGACCCGTGGTTCTTCTCCTGAGCAGCTGGAGGAGCATCTGCAGGGATCCGTTAACCTTTCCCTGCGACCTCCCGTTTCATTAGACGTGTTGACGTGCGGTCTCTACGTGGAGCGTGACCTCGACGGGCGGCAGGGTTCGGAGCGGCTTCCTGCTGCAGAGCTGGAGATGTTCCTGAAGCCCAGCTGAACCAGGTAGGTCCAAACGAGGCTTTAAGCTGGATCTTATCATCCTTCAGACCAGACAAACTGGCTCTGAAAAGGTCGGCCAAGAAAGATCCGGGATTAAAATCTGAAGTTTGTTGGCTAGAAAAAAGTCCTGTGAGGTCTGATTAGTGTTAAATATTCTTCATTATGAGGATTTTTAAAGATAAAAAGATGTATTTTGCTGACATAAAAGCTAAATGTATCATCAGAGTCACATTAAAGATTAATTATTACTCAGGAGTTGAGTTTATTCTCATGGAGGCTTTTCTTAATTCACATGATCAGATTTATCCTCCAGTGCAACCCAAATACTTTTGGAAATGTTTAAAATGCTTTAAATATTTGAAATTCCTGCATATTATTATAATTTTTTGTACTTTTTATGGCAAACCTATCAGCATTTTACTTTTATAGAAATGAAAACGATAAGCTTAGTGTTTCTGTTGTTATATTTTGCTATTTATGTGCAAATAAAACCAAAAATAATCCTAGAATAACAGAATCAGAATATACTTTATTGATTTTCAAGGGAAAATTATTTGTCAAGCTACTCCATCCAAAATGTTAAACTTTAGCTAATATAAATATAACATTTATAAAATGTATTTATATATAAATGTATATGCATAATTTAAGTATGAACTATATATAAAATAAAAATAAGCATATAAACAGCTTCAGTAGGTTTTTTCCTCTGGTTGCAGTGCACCGAGTGGCCAGCAGAGGGCAGTGATGCTCCGCTTCAACAGCACCGAGCTGCAGTCTCTCCTGCTCTCCGTCCTGCAGCACTGCCTCAACAGCAGCGGCCTCCAGCCGCCCGGGAACCACACTACCCATGATGCTTTGCAGCAGGCGGCGGCCTCCGCCAGGGGTCGCCCTCAGCCTGAGGAGCTGATGTTCATCCTGCTGGTGGTCGGCCTCTTCAGCTTCTTCACCTTCGGCATCATGCTGAGCTACATCCGCTCCAAGAAGCTGGAGGGCTCCCAGGACCCGTACCACCAGTACATCGCCCACGACTGGAGCGCCGTGGTGGGGCCGCCCAGGGCCGTAGCCGAGGCCCTGCAGCGGGGGGCCCAGGACCCGGTGGTCCTCTGCAACCCTGTGGCTCTGCAGCCGCTGCCGGAATAAACCGACAATTCTCCAGACCTGGAGGATCATCTGAGGATGATCTGCTAACACTGCCACCCTGCTACAGTAAAACAGCCCCTCAGCATGATGGTGCCACCACCATGCATGGCACTGTATGTCACAAAGTGAGATATCCAGAAGATTTTAAATAAATAATCTTTAATGTTTCACAGTAACCAAACATTAGTGTTTGCTCTGTTTTTTTCCATCTTCTCACCTCATTCGCTACGTTTACAAGTGCCACCCAAATTATGAGTGAACTTTTAAAAAGCTGGAAAAAAAAGAGGTGAATTCTGCATGTTTCTATCTACTGGTTTGGAGCGAATCAACCAGGCTACGAACAGGAACAGGACATAGAGGAAAACCACACTGAAGATTTGGACGCTTCCTGAGCTTCTGCCGAGTTTCTCCTGGGTTTTGTACCTGTGGTAAGGCACAGACCAGGTTCTCTCCATGTTATTCAGAGAAAACTGGTTTGTGTTAGTTAGCAACATCTACTTCCTGTTTGCTACAGCCAAGCGTAACGCAGACATGTGACGAAGTTACGTGTTCGTACCCTGGTTGATTCTCTCTAAACCAGCAGGTGGAAACACGGTAATTCACTTTTTCTTTTTTGCCACTGTTTAAAAGTTTGCACTAAATTTGGAAACGAAGCTGATGATGACCCAATGCTCGGTACCAGAGAGTCCTTCAGTCTGTGTGCAAAGGAGCATTAGAACGGATCATTTTAATGATCATCACATTAAATTCAATAAGAGCTTTCCATACAGGAACAATACAAACATCCTGGGTTGATGATAAAAATGTGTTGTTTTAGTTTAATTTACCTTTTAAAGGTGAGTAAAGCAGCGGCTGGTTGGAGACTTTTGCCCGTTGCTATGCAGGGTTAGTATCCGAGCAGACTCTGCATCCAGGACACCAGCCCTCGCCTCTTAGCTGGAGTCCTGCCTGCAGAGTTGGCTCTCTTCTTCTCCTCCTTCCTCCGCTCCCTCTCTTCCTTCCGGACCTGCAGAAGCTCCGCCCTCCGTTGCTCGGCAACCCTCTGGGCCCGCGCCGCCTCCCGGGCCAGGCTGAAGTGGACCATCTGCATGCCCAGCATGGGGACGATCAGGTTGTAGTCGTCCACCATCTTGTTGAGCTTCGCCAGCTCCTCCTCCACGGCGCCGCAGAGCCGCTCCCAGTGGCGCCGCTCCGCCGGGGTCATGGGGTCGCCGAGCCGCGCCCGGCCCTCCAGCAGCCGGCTCCGGACCCGGGCGGCGCCCTCCCGGATGTCACGCTGCGTCACCACCCAGGGCGGCTGGTAGCCGTTGTCGATCAGGATGCGGTTGAGGTTGTGGGTCATGGGGTCGGCGTACGGGTTGTGCTGGAACTTGTTGAGCGGCTTCCCGGCGCCGCTCAGGTTCCGGAAGTCTCCGCGGGCCATGGACTCCTGGATCAGGTCCTCCACCAGCCGCTCTACCGCCTGCGTGATCTTGATCTTGTGGCTGCGCTGACGGGCGTCCCGCTCTGCCAGCGCCCCGTCCGCCGCCGCCGCGCGCTCGTGCTCCCTCTGGCGGTAGCTGAGGACCTGCTCGGCGGCCCGGTCCACACGGACCTGCCGGTACTGCCGCTCCCGCTGGCTGGGGGTGCCCGAGCCCACGCCCTCGTAGCTCAGGTAATGTCGGTGCTGCAGAGCGGCTCCTCGGGTCTTGTCCTCGTCGTCGTCGTCCGTCGCTCCGTCTGGCTGTCGGGTTTTACTCTGATGGGCCAGGACGGCCCGGTACGCCTCCTCGACCCGAGCGAACAGCCCGGCGTCGGCGGTGGGCTCGCCGCAGTCTGGGTGGTAGAGCTTGGCGAGGCGCAGGTAGGCGGCCCTCACCTCCGCGGGGCTGCTGCGGCCCTCGGCGGGCAGCTGCAGCACCCTGTAGCTCTCCTGGAGGCTGCGGCTGATCTGACCGTCCGAGCTAAACCACCTGGACGCTCCGGACCGCCGGGAGGACAGGAGGGGGCGGCGGCCATGATGGAAACCCCGGCGCCACGGCAACAGCAGGAGACGGCTGGTCATCTCTGGGACCGTCTGCAGATCTTAAAGAAAACATTCAGAATCAGGAAAATTAATCTGCATCAAAACATTTCTCTGGTATTTCCTGCTTCAAAAGAAACTGTACTTTTTCTTTTCTGTAAAGCAACCAGCAACAAAGCGACGGTTTTCAAAAAGGCAACTACAAAAAACCTAGCAGCTTTTCTCAAAAACAACCTTCAACAAATGTAGCAACTAGCAACAAATTGACTTTTTTCAAAAAAGCAACTAGTAATAAACTTAGCAACCGTTTTTCTCAAGAAAGCAACTAGTGACAAATGTAGCAATTTTTTTCTCTGTTATTAGAGACTTTGGCGACGTGTGAAGCTCCAGCTGCTCTGCAGAAACCGACCTGAGTAAGTCTGCTGCCTTCAGCTCTTCCTCAGCTGCAGTCAGTCTCTGTCGTCCATTCACTCACTATTCCACCTCCTGACTCGCCAGCAGGGGGCGTGTGTTTGAGTCAGGTGGTTTTATACCTGAACTCGGACTGAGTGACGTCGACCAACCTGGACGCCTGGTTAATGGGACAACAAATTTAACTACAGTAGCCACTGTTTGACCCACAGAGGGCAGCACTGAGACAGTTTCAGGCTATAATATTGCAAAATTAAATACATTTCCACAAAAATATCACATTTTGCACAGACATATAAAGATACCAGCCTTAAGAACCAATTTAGACAGCTTATCAGCAAAAATAATAACTTGATTTGGGTTTTATTTGATTGGTGCCTTTGAATGATCATTTATCTCCAAGGTAGAAGGAGTGACAATGGATTAAAAAAAGTCTGATTTTGGATCACCGTCTGAAGTCAAGGGTCAGGTAAAGGGCAGCAAACATCTCTGCAGACCCCACACATCCTGGATATGAACTGTTTAGACTTATTGATGCCTTCAGAGCATCTGAAACAGTAAAAGTTAAATTATTGCTTGTGTGCAAACCTGCTGGACCTGAGCGGAGAAACAACCAGTTTTTACAAACTGCCAAGAATGATGGCAGGAGCTTCTTGACCAACCAAATTTTACTGGGTGTTTACAGATATACTTCAGCCTAACTTGATTTTATGTGATTTAAAAAAGACACCATCAATAAATCCACGTTTTTCCCTAAACTTTCTTTCATGATCCTTAGTTCTGTTTTCTACTAATGCAAAATCATCTCAGATAAACCATAAAAAGGCCCAAAATAATCTGACATTGATGCTAATGACTAATGTGTGATAAACTCGCTGGGTGACACAAGTCCAACTGTTTCTGATTTATTACCACAGATTTAATTGCGTCCAGAACAATAAAGAGTGTACTGGCCCTTTAAGTTCAAGCAGACACCAACTTCAGCCTGAATAACACCTGCAGGCATTTCTCTTCATAACACCTGTTCAAAGCGCCATCTGTCTCCTGAAGTTTCTTGAAGCAGCTCTAGACATCAAACCAACTCTGTGGAGATTCTTCTGATGTCACGTTGAGCAGCCGGTTCAATAACAGCCTCAGTGTTTGGCTAAAATAGTCAAACTAACGGCGGATTTACAGAGAAAAACACCGAGAAACGTGACAGGAAGCTGCGGCCCAGACCTGCTCTCAGTCCGGTCAGGAAGCCGCGTCCAGGCTCCGGGAGCCACAGGATCTCCAACCGCTGGAAGTCAGCTCACCTGAGAGTCCGCTGTGTTGTTATGTAGCTTCTTCTTCTTCCTGCGCCTCTCCGCCGCTGAGACTTCCCACCGCCCCCTGCCGTCAGGTCAGGGAATTACAGCCACACATGGAAACGCTGCGACTTGCATTTCAAAAAATGGCAAATTAATTTACAGTTTCTAGTCTAATTTGATAATAAACAAGTATTATGAGCAACTAATTTTCTGGTGTAACATCTTTCACTTTATACTGTTTATTTTAGATGGTATTTTTTAGAAATAGAAAATAATTTGTCAAAGCTATTTATTCTTTGATTTTATTACTTTGAATTTTCCTTGCATTTGTTTTTAGTTTACTTTAAATTTAGGGATTTTAAAAGGTTTATTTCTAGGTTAATTGTTTATATATTTAGTCACTGAATTAAATATTTAGTTTGGAACTCAGACATTTATCAATGTTGGAATAACATGGTGAAAATATGACTTTCAAAAATGAACTCATATTTTTATGAATTTATTTTAATTTAAACAGAAGTTTGCTGCAAAAACACATCATCCCAGATATAAAAACATTTATTTATCTGCAGTGGATTGTAGGATAAGAACATGATACAAAAATATTATTTAAGTTGATAATATGAGTAGTTTCCATTCTGCAGCTGGAGGTCATCTCTCCATCTTCTGCTGCTGTTCAGGTTTCCTGCAACACAAACATCACGTTTCCGTAGAACCTTTTTGCTCTCTAAATATTTAAATGCTGACATTATGTTGTGAATGAAACATTTCATAGTTACTCACCGTAAAGACGAGCTGCCTGTCATCCTCCATGCTTCTCCTTCACTATTAAACAGATCAGAAACAAAAATCTGTCACCACAAACCAGTGAAATTTTTACAAAGTTTTAAAGTTTGTTCCTTCTGAATGGAAATCCAGCAAATATCAAGCAGACAGAAACAGACAGTTTAACATTTGATCTCATCAGTCCAAAGGACCAGAAGTTCTGCTGACATTTTGTTTTAGGAAGAAAATACTTTCTGCTTCCCATAAACATTCAGTCTCTTTCTAACTGTCCCTTCATGACCTTTAACCTTGAACCTGCTGTAGAGTCTGAGATGGAGCTCTCAGGTTCCTGGTCATTTCTCTGAGCTTCACAGCACCAGTTGCTCCTCTGAACTCGCTGCTGATGTTTGTCTATTTTGTTGTACTAATGCAGTGGTTCCCAAACTTTTTCTTCTGCGACCTCCAGTGGTTTCCAAACATGTTCTGCGCCCCCCCCCCCTGTGGATTACAAATTTAAAATTACAAAAATTGCCTTAATAAATCAGGAGTTTCCTTGTTTCTTCTGAGCTTTAACTCGTTTCTAAATCTAAAAGCTCGTCGGCGCAGAGACAAACTGTCTCCTCAGCTCCAGCTGAACTCACAGAGTGTCTCCGCCTGATGGTTGCAGCCGATGCTCCTCAGGATCTCCGCGGTCACATCCACAGCCTTGTCCTCCGTGAAGGTGGAGACCAGAACATCTACGATGTCCAGGCGGCTCTTCCCCTCCACCCTGCAGCGTCTGACCCGCGGCTCCTCGCTGCGGTCCAGCAGCTGGAAGACAAACTTGTCCAGGTTGTTCTGGGTCAGGTCCTCCAGGGTTTCAGCTAGAAGCTGCTTAATGCTGCGAGGCATTTCTGTGGAAGATGAAGCTGCTGGAACAGAAACTGAACCAAAACTGAGGAGTCAGAATACAGGATTCAGCTACCATTATTTATTAACTTATTAAAATGGAGAAAGATCTTTTAGGATTGTTTTCCTTTACATGTCAGTTGTGAATTTCTAATGTTTTATGCAGATTTATGGTTTTTATGTCTTGCAGTAACTTTCATACCTTCTGTTTTCACAGCAGCAGCTTCTGTTGAAGACCCCCAATCAAAAAGAAAAACACACAAACATTAATGAAATGGTTTTAATTCAGTTATAATGAAGATAAAACAAACAGCAGGATCCAACCAATAGCTTCTCTTCTTAATGTCAACATGACCAAGCTCATCCCAGCACACTGTTGAGTTTCCAACTAGTTTGGATGATCATATAAAAGTTGCACATT